GACCAGGACTATTTCCCGAGGCGCAGGAAATAGTCCTGGTCTTGGGGAACTGGAATCTTGCCGACTCCCTCAATGTTATACTTTAACTGTATAGTAAATGTACATTGAGAGGGAAGGAGGTAGTGAGTATATGTTGTCTTAGGACCCCTGTATATTGATAAACACCAGTATGTAAAAGGCTATCAGCTGTAATTTATCTACTTTGCCACTCTCAACTGCATTAAAAGATCATAAGCTTGAATCATAGGACAAGTTAAAAGTTACCAGTACCTAGAGGCCTATAACAGCTGTTCCCCCAGTTTTAGTATGGAAAGTGTATGTGTGTTAAATGGGACAAAGTTGATCATATTCTGAGATTTTAGCACCTCAATTGTTGATTGTAGGGACCAGGGTGTCAAATTTCTTATTAAATCCAAAACTTTGAAAGTCATCATCACCTTTGTCTTCATTCCACATTTACAATAGCTGGTATCACTTAGAGCAAGGCATTGTTCAGATGAATATGGATGAGATTTTACTCCACCATATGAGCTAGCTTCAGTTCATTCATGGTGCTTGAAATCAGATTTGGAAGTGAATTTTAAAACCTTTTTGTTCCATAATTTCTTTTATGGAGACATTTCAGGAACAAATTTTACTAGCCACATGGAAATTTCAATACTCCCTTGGAATGAGATTTTTTCATGGGAACATGTGGATCTAAAGTTTGATCTGCATGCCTCTAGGTCTATCTCTCAAGACTTTCTCAAGACATAGTTTTACCAGACACTTTCAGAGATATCTTATTTACAAATTACTCTTGACCATCCATGAGACAAATATCTTGCCATGTGGTAATGAATTACTGGTAGTTCTCTGCTATATTATAAAATTCATACCACAGAGCTTCTGAGAAACTCGTGATAATCAAGACCCATGGGCCCCTCTTAGAATAAGAAAGTAATGCTACCAGCTTCAAATGATTTATTCAGTATATAAAATCTCACTTCCACCTAAGTACACAGACTTGTGCTATATGATCCGAGGGGAACACAATGCTGGGGAGGGCCACATGCTGAGTGACCTGTTCGTGGTCTGGAGGAGGGACTACACTGACCGCCTCCAAACTGCTGTCCACAAACACATAGTCCAGCTGTCCGTGGAACCCTCCCACGTAATTAGTGTACCGCGGGTAACCGCAGGCACTGGTCAGATTAAAGCCATGGGAAAAGTCAAAGTTGGTCACCTTCTCTCCCGTATCTGTAAATTAAATATCGAAAAATTTTATCTTAAATCATCAAGATATAACACCAATCACTAATAATATACATTAAATGATATAAATCCCTGGGTGGAATAAAATGAAATGAATACATGTACATGTATTATTTCTGTAAATACCTTACCACCCCATCCTACCAATAAGAAAAATTTTGAGGATGGCTATTGAAAGATGAGGGAATTTTGCTTTACATTCAGTTTTTTTGGTTTTTGTTTTATAAGGGTCCTACCCTGTTTATGAAAGATCAATAAAGCCCCAAAATTTCGGATGCTACAAGACAATTACACATACATGTATGTTTATGTAATTTCAAAAACCTTAAAATTTTGTAAAGATGAAATAGGTGACCTTGAACTCTTCCCAAAATCATTTAATGAATAAAAATAATCCTAATTTCTATAAAACATTACCTTTTATCTGTAAGTCATATTCCTCTGGACTGAGTTGACTTTTGCTCAGAAATCCATGTAAAGGACTTTGGGGACTGGCATTGAAATCTCCACAGAAAACTAAGGAAATGTTGTCTCCCTGAAGAAAAAAAACTTGGCAATCATAAATAAAATAGTCAGTTCTTTAATAATCTGCTTTGAAATAGATATATATTCTTGCAGATTTAAATAATGATTCCTTGTTCTTGTTTCATGAGTTTTTATTTAAGGTCCAAGAATTTTTTACTTTAATTTGTAAGTACTATCGCAAAATGTTTATAAAATGATGATCTGCATCTTTCAAATCAAAACTTAATACACTGTACAAAACTTTGCTCTACAAATCTTCACTTTCATTTTCATTATTGATTGAAAAAAAATTTATCTCCCCTTGGAATAAGATATTTGATTGGCTGAGTACCTTTTCCCTGTATTTTGTCATCACTTGTTCTAAGTGCCTGATGCTGACCACTCCCTGGATAATACGGATGTGATCAAAGTCTCGGTGAAAAAACAGATGGGTGTTTGCCACACACAGCTTCTTGTGTGGATCTGACACAGATTCCAGAACATGCACCTACAATGTTCAAAGCAATAAAACTGAACTTTTCACTTAAATATCTACTTGACCTTTACCTCTGCCAATTAACAAAAGTAGATGGATTTTACACTATTCTTTCACATTTCATTGATCACTTTTTCTAACCTAGAATTATTCACAAATTTTCAAGACAGGCTTTGATCTGAGAAGATCATTTAAGTAAGCACATATTGGTATTCACATTCACAATGTTGAAAAATCAAATTCATAATGATTTCCTAAGTGCCTTACTTGTAGCACATTTTTCCTCTTTTTATAAAACTCATACAGGACTTCATATTTGGTCAATTTTTCCTTGATATCTTTATAGGCCTCCTCCTCCAAACTCTGTGTTATGTCTATTGAGTGTTCCTCTAGGGCCCTGCAATAGTAAATGATAGCATCCTGTAGTTAGCCTCTGTAAGATTGTGGGATACTCAGAAGAAAGATTGAGGATTATCAAGACAGCACATTATATAATGGTATATTTTGGTCAACACATCTGCACTTAAGATGGAATACTGCATACAGGGTTATTTTCACCATGTTTTATTTTTGCCCTTTCACACTTGCAGATAATTTGGCCTCTTTTTAAATTTGCCCACTCATAGTTTTATTAAAGAAAATTAAACTGTATTATTTGATTTCGCCCTATTTTAAATTCACCCAAATGAAGGTAGGGCGAAATTAAGACGGGAGTGAAAATTTTCCTGTATACAGTACTTGCTTTGAATTGATGGAGGTATCAAAACTTGAGTTTAATATTTTTGATAATAACTTGTTTGCATTATACCACTATACACTAACCTGAACTTTGAGTTCCTGTAAAACAAAGCTTCTCCTTCTCTGATTTTCCCAGTTTTCATCTGAAACACTCCCGAAAAGCCATTAATCTGAAGGGCTGGCAAGAGATACCTGTCAAATATCTTCTCATCTACTTCTTGAAGGCAAATGATATCTGCATTGTATCCTGTTAAATCACATTTATAATTTACATTTATAATGATTAACATTTTAGAAAAACCACCAGGCTGGGTGGTTGATATGCATTTCATTTACATACTTTACATATAGCTTTTCTTTGCCATTACTTTTCAGTAAAATTATTTTCTTGATCTCTTGACAGAGATAATTTACCGAGAATCTCTTTCAGTAGCAGTTGTTTTCTGTAATCTATGGACTGTGCGTAAGGAGGACAATATGGATACAGTTCATTTCTAGTGAAGTCTGTGTCTGCAAACGCATCTGCCAGTATGTTATAGGACACCACTCTGAAACTAAAAATACAACAGTTATTTATTGTATATTGATAAAAGTGAGAATATAGCTAATAGTATTAAAACTCACATTTCATTTGTACAGTTGTGTACAAAGGCCATGATTGGGTATTTAGTAACAATATTTAAATTTAGAAAGAATAGAATCTAGTCTAAGAAAAGGAATAGAGATTTAGTAAATCATTATAACATTCTGAATTTATCATAATTAATCAAACAATCTCTCCAAGTAACACGACTATCTTATTCAAAGATAAGAACGAACAGCCATTTGGTGATGATGTGATAAACTCAACTCATTGTAGACAAGCCTGACAATAAGAGTGTAGTACATCACTATAAGTACCTTGTGCTATCGGTCAGTTCTGAATTGTACATGTGTCTCGTCTCAAACGGACAGACCCCTGGACCTGCTTCAACCTCCACTTTACTGATGACTGTGGACATACTTCCTGACTTATCCCCGAGCTTTGGAATACAGCTAAGTTCAATTTTATGGTCAATGTCGTCATTGGTTGGTGTGTAAGATTTTTCATTGCACAGGAATGTCCGATTTGCATGTTTTAGAGAATCATTAAGATGAATGAAATCTTTATGTACTCTGTTCCACGTGTACTCACTGTCCATCACATTAGCAAACTGTAAATCCACCTTTGGGAAAATTGGGAACCCTGACATCATACTCTTGGGAAGCTCTAATTTTAACACTGTAGGGGGGTTAACTGATACCTGATACTTTTGATCGTTAATACAGACTTCGGATCCCTGAGTCAAGGCTTCTACAACACGTACTTTGCTCTCTGAATTGATTTCAACACCATTTATGGTAAACTTAAGGGGGGTTTCCTCGTATTCAATTTCTGGTTCATTTTTCTTTCTCTTCCTTTTTAGAAATTTTGATGTTATGGAATTTTTAAGTCGTGAAAAAGTTTGACCCATTTCCTCCTCTTTTATTCTATCCATTCGGAACTGTTTAGGTTTTCCTCCATCGTGAGAATAGTCAAATTCCATGGAGATTCTGTCATTAGCAGGGAGTGAGCGAACAATAAATAAAGAAGTGGGCTCCATTTTTCGATCCCCCAGCCTAGTAAGAAAATAGCCTATTTTGATCTGCAACTTTTCTCTAAATAACCGTAACATAGCATTGTTATTTATCAAATTGCATTGCAACCTTTCTTTGCACGCGTTGATGCAATATTTCAGTTCGAATTTCCTCCACAGCTGTTTCACTCTTTAGTGTATGCCAAACCCGACTTTTTTCTCTCGCTTTTGGTAAAATTGATTCGTGTGATGTTGATATCGCCGAGTGGAGTGCACATTTAGAGGTTTTTCAGTACATATAGAAGTAAAGAAATTAATATTTTAACCGTGAAATAAAAAAAATAGCTTTTTCATAATTTTTTCTGCCTTCAATATACCTAAAATAAATGATTTTTGGCTCACCTGGGCTGAAGCTCCTGAAAGTGAGCCTTTCTGATCACAATTTGTGTGTAGTCCGTCTGTTTGTCCGTCCCTCTATAAACTTTTCACATTTTCGACTTCTTCTCCCGAACCACTTGCATGGTCAAATTCATTCAACTTGCCATAAAGCATATTTGGGTGAAGGGGATTCAAGTTTGTTCAAATGAAGGGCTACGCCCTCTTTCAAGGGGAGCTAAATAAAAAATAGTGAAAATTTGGTGGAATGTTTAAAAAAAATTCTTCAAAAGAACCACTGGGTCGGAAAAATGAAACTAATGTGGAAGCATCCTCACGTAAGGTGAATTCAAGTTTGTTCAAATCATGACCCCCGGGGTAGGAACGGGCTATGATGGACGAAGTTTTACATATAGGAATATATCGGAAAAATCTTCTAAAGAACAACGCTTTACACAACCATGATTGAGCATTGAGTCAAATGCTGACTGACGTTTTTTCATACTATAATTGTTAGTCCATTATTTTACACTGCAATTGGTAATTTTAACGGATTTTCCCGTTATTTCCCTATTATGACAAGGAGAAATGACGGGTGTGACCGGTCGGCTGGGGATCATACTCCCCCTCGACGCCTCATCTACAGAGAGAGTTGTGAGCAAACGATCTCTGGCGGAAGTTTGGGCTGGGGATGTTCACTCCTCCATGGCAACTGATCACACCTCTGATGTTTTTGAGGTCCGTGTTTAATTGCTCTGTTCTTATTTGTATTTTTTTCATTGGCTTTTGAGCATGAATACTGTTCGTTTCCTCCATGTATGTATTTCATTTATAATTTATTATGAGGTAGTGTACGTGGATTCAAGCTTGTTGAAATCTAGCTGCAGAACTGTAGCTCTCTGCTTGAGAAAATTCGGACAGATAAAGTATCTGTCTTTTCTCAAAGAGAGCTACAGTTCTGCAGCTAGTTGAAATCATGATCCCCGGGGATAGGGTGGGACCACAATGGATGATCAAAGTTTTACAAAAATTAAAGGACAAATCTTTAATTAAAAAAACCTCCTTCTCAAGAGCAACAAAACCATGGTGTAGATTCAATTTTTTTTAAAATCATGACCCCCGGGGGTAAGGCCGGGCTAAATTGAAAGTTCAAACTTATAGGGAAAAAAGCCACATTAAGTCAAGAAATATTTAAGCTTTCTTAGTTATAGTGTAGATTCAAATTTATTCAAATCATACACCCCCCTCCCAGACCCCTTTAAGGGTAGGTCGGGAAGTTACTTACGTATTTAACTGAGTTTTTCGCCATTTTCTTAGCCACGGTGCTCTGGTGAGCGATTTTGCCCATGGGTCTCAATTTTGTTATGGACAACTGAAGGTTTCTCTGCTGCATGGATATGATATTCAAGTCTAAAACTGCAAGCTAGATTCCTTTCTTTTCCTGTAGCTCCGATGGCGATGAATGACTATATTATGCATTGTCTAAAGTCACGGTCCGGAATCTGCTTTGCTCTTTCCTACCCCATTTGAAATGCAGTTAATTATCAGGTGCGTAGCAAGGCGTACTTTTGTACGCAAAAACGTCCACATCATTTTCAAAAAAAAAAAAAAAAAAAAAAAAAAAAAGGAAAGAAAGAAAGAAAAGAAATGAAAGAAGAAGAGAGCGAGACAGGCGTAATATTGGAAAGGGAACTCATATTTTTTGCAAAATATTAGTAAATAATTTAAAAAAAAAAAAAAAGAGAGACAATTTAGAATTAACAATAAAAAAATAAAAGAAAATCAAAATCAACAGAATCAGATTCGGGGGAAAATACGATATTATACACCTAACTGAAATCAAAAGATTTTCCCGGATTTTGATTAACTATCGAATATTGCTGATTTTTTAAAAGTGTTATAAATCATTACATTCTTTAAAAAGAGTTTCTCTGATTTGAACATATTTTATTGTAATATAATTACAAAGGGATTGAGCACAAGTACTGAATACTTATAACGCCCTCTCCCTATACATGTAAATTACACATTGATATTGTCACAGTTAAACATGCTATATAAAGGATTCAGAATTTGCAAAAGTAAACAAATTGATGCATTTTGCATATATGTATAAATACATAAAAGTTGAACAAATTCATATATTAATATACAGGTACAGTAATTAACAAGGAAATCTACCAGAATGCTTAATAAATGTTTGAACAAAAGAAAAGAGACGTTCATTCTCTGCATTATTCAGTGAATCAACCCCCCCCCCATAATAAGACATGTGTATCTAGTATGTGGATTTTATCAAATTGTAAAAAATTATTTAAAAATTCATTTCTGGCGTTCGCATACTTTGGACATACGAAAAAATAATGATATGTGTCCTCAACTTTACCGCATGTGCACAAGGGACTTGATATTAAATTGCATCTATAAAGGTCGTTATTTAATACACAATTATGTCGTAGTCTGGTTTGAAGAACATTAAGTCTTCTGTTACCGTAATCAAAGTATGAAGGTGGGGCAGATCTAGATTTTTTATTACTAATTTTAGATTTGAATTTTGACATTGACTGTAAATTTCGAGTTTCAAGTGGAATGGAGTTCCATTCGTTAACTACAGTAGGAATAAACGTAGACTTATAAGTTTGTAATCGACACTTTGGAATATCATAATTTTGAGAATTTCTTGTCGAGTAGATAGATGTGTTACAGCGCATATTTGGAAGGATGTCCATTAAGTATTCTGGCACTAAATTATTATGAAGTTTGAACATTATTTTTAATCTAGCTTCTTGTCTTCTACAACTAAGCGGTTCCCACCCCGTTTCAAAATAAAGTGAATCTTTGGAAGCTATAGTTGTTAACCCTGTATAAAACCCCAGTCGGTTCCCTTAAAAGAAACGATAATTTTATTTAATGCCAAAAATGTCAATTTCTCTTAAGGTAGGATTCTTCTACGGTTTCTGACTAGATGGAATATTCAAAGTATATTTGTTCATATGTCTTATATATTTAGATGTAAGAGATTTAAAAGACCATATTTTTCTTTCCTCATCACAATTATACAACTTTAAATAGAAATGGTAAACTGTGTTTGAAAACTATCAGGGACTGTATTTTTGGCGGAATGGTGGCGTATGAAAATATCTTCTTTTCTGCCTCTCAAAATTATTAGATAACATTGACTTTGGTTACAATTTTTACGCAATCAAAGACTAGACGAAATTTTCAAATGTAAGTTAAATTAATGATAAGGGACTAAAGTTTCAAAATATATCATATAAATAAGATTTTTCACACATACAAGAACTATGATGGCTTTTAAATGCTTCAAACATAAGTACAAATTTGAGCCAAAATATCCGCAAGAAGTGTTATTTCTCTCTCAGTAAACGATCAAAACTTTTCGTTTTTGTATCATTTTGTACCTTTTTAGAACAACTTTACTATATGTGAAAATTGGAAAAAGTTAAATATAGGAAGCATATAAAAATAACTAATAAATCCTAAAAATTTAAGAAAAGTAGAGGAAATTCGGATTAGCAAATATCTATTTTATTTAAATTATCCATGTCAATTTGGTAATATCATCTTTAGTTATAGGCCTTATATGGTAGTATCTTTTTATGCAAAAAGAAAAACATTCAATCTTTTGAATTACAAGTAGGGATCGCATGATTGGAAACAATAATTTTTTATCCTTAATGTCCAGGGAAAAGGTAATGACCTTGACCTGACCTTCCCTCTAATATTAAACGGTCAAATTTAATCTCACTGATACCATCACTTAGTGATATTGTCCTCTTGATTCTGTGAAAATTTCATCAATTCTTAAATACAAGAAATGTGAGAAGAATCCTACCTTAATGGAAATTACCTTAGCTTCCAACCGCAATGCTTAACTTCTGTAAGGACACCCCCCCCCCCCCCCCATTTTAACCTCAGTAATATTGGATTCATGGGATACTTCAAAAATCATTATTCATCTTTATATATGAACATCAAAAGTCGAAAATTGGTAAAATTCAGTTTAACCTTTAAGAAAAATAAAAATAAGCAAAGGCGGATTTAAGGGAGGGGGCGCCCCTAAAATTGTCAAAGATAGCATAAACATAGTTTTGTCGAGAAAATTGATGTTTAAAACGTCCACTCGCAGTACTTGGTAGACCTCATTTTTACCCTACAAAACCTCTAGAATCCATGAGCTTCCTGGGGCTTCGCCTTCTGGCCCCCACCAGGCCTCAAGGCGGCCCCCAGTCCCCCTGCCTAAATCTTGCGCCCCCTAACTTCAATTCCTGGATCCGCCCCTGATAAGGCATCTGTTACACTATCTTAAAACCAGTAGTATATTTTACATGTTTTTTATAATTGTTGCAAAAAGTTTAAGATACCAGATTTGTGAATATTTATGAACATCATTTTAAAATGTATACAATGTACATAAGTGCAAGAAAATGAGTTGAAAAGAATTCTTCTGTCTTTGATATTTTTAATCGTTGGAGGTGTATTTTTAATATTAATGTAAGCCTGACTATCAGTCAATTACGTGGTCTGTCTAAACCAGTCAACCACTCTAACCAATTACGGTAACTGTATGTTACCATACGTATTTTGTCGAGCTTCAAGTCTAAAATTGTTTTAGTGGGTTCGCTTTTGGACAGATCTTTTCTTATTTTTAAGTGACTATCCGCTTTTTATACAAGGAAAGAACAGACCTTAAATGTGGCTGCATAACAAACAGAAAAAGTGTAAGAAAAATGCTTTCAGAAGGGTCAAACATGCGCATCGAAATCGTCGAAAATTCAAAACCCCCACCAGGGCTTCGCTCTGGACCCATTGGGGGTCTTAGGGCGACCCCCAAACCCCCAGCCTATCCAGGCGTCCTCATCAAATGTACTCTGGCTACGCCCCTGATTATGGTGGTGGGTGGGAGGTTGGGGGTTATTGTAATATTTTTTAAAATTATTTTTTGTTTATTATCCAAGATTTTTAATGTAAGTTTAAGGTAAGTTTGCCCCCCTCCCCCCTTCAAGGAAACGAAAGTAAGTGTCTGAAATATGCTGAACAACTGGCATGTTTTAAAATTCATTATTTTACATTCTATATATATGATTTATGCAAGTTTTAAAGCCAAGTTTATTAAGTTTTTCCTTCCTTTTGAAATTTCAATCATTATTGTTAATCTTATAGTCTTGAATCTTGAAAAAAATATTGATATATCAGAGACCGATATGTCTCTAGATATGTCATTATATGACACCCATTACTCAAGAAAAACTCAAAATTTCGGGAAAACGATGTTTTTTAGCACGGTTTGTAATTTTATCTTTGACCCGATTAGCGATTGGTCTATCCGACGTGACGTCACATTGTGTTCGCGCCAACTTTGTCCCTTGTCAGCTTGGGTCTATTTACGTGGACAGGAAAACAAGAGCTTACAGGTGATTCACAGCGTTGATCATTTTCAAATTATGTTAAATGAATTGTTGACTTATTTTCTTAATAGCATACTAAAAAATATCGCTAACTTTATGTGATATAATTTGCCAAAAAGTCTTCAAAACTTTTGTTTACATTTTTTGGCCGCTTACTAAGAAGTTTATGGTGTGTAGTACTTGGGTATTTATTTGTAGAGGCAGACATGGAAACCCGAGTACAAAGAAAGTTGGAATTTCAAGTTAAAAAGTCAACTAGATCGACAAGGGCAAAACAACGAGCACAGAACAAAAGCAGATCCCAGACCGAATCTCCTAGAAAAAGATACAGTGATGGTAATATATTAAATGCATAGTCTGGTAATTATAATGCACTTTAAAGGAAAGAAGAATATGGAAAAAAATATCCTGACGCTACAAGTTTTTGAAAGATCAACACCCTAACTTGAATTCATTACAGCTTTGTTCACAATTTTTCAAAGTACAGTTTTTTTTTAATATATATGATATAACATACAAAATCGCTTTTGCTGGCTCAAATAATGTTAAGTCTTCTTTATGTGCATTTTCTAATACTAAAAAATGTGAATAGGATTTAGCCAATGAAAAGGATGTCTTGCATTAGTCAGTTAGTTATTTGATTTGTTGAAACATTTTATCAAAGTTTGGTGACGGACAGTAATTCATAAAATAAGTCTAGCATGCAGAACTGTAGCTCTCTGTTTGAGAAAATCCGGATAAAGCAGAGAGCTACAGATCCATGCGTTATAAAAACCTTCGATTTACTCCGCCGATTTTTTGTCGCTCACTTCAGGTATTATTTCTCGTAGTTTATGCTTTTTTACACTCTTGCAATGTATCCGATAATTAATGATCACACTCATATATTTTACTTCAATTATTGATACTGTACTTTATATACCATTCAACGGTTGGGTCTGAATAGTCCTCTGGATTTGGAATGTTGATTTAAAAAATTAATTTTTACGACCACTTCCACAAACTGCCATTCTTGAAGCGGTGGCAGGTAAATAAAAATTCAGGAATAGGAGTTAAATGTATGGTTATTGAATATCATTTATAAAGCTGGGGTAAACATTAAATATAAGAAATAATACCTGAAGTGAGCTATAAAAATCGGCAGCGTAAGTTGAAGGTTTTTACAATGCATGCATCTGTAGCTCTCTGCATTATCTGTCCAAATTTTCTCAAGCAGAAATTTACAGTTTAGCAGCGTAAAAAGAGTCTTAACACTAAAATTTATTGAATAATCTTTTTCTTGCAGTCACAGTAATTGTCACAATAGGAGCATCTAAATAAAGTTATTCTTCTTGTAATTATGATGTTTTTCAATAAATTTATCATGTCAAGTTCTCCGCTAATAAGGAATATAAACTCATTTTAGGGAATACTAAAGCATGAAAAATAGATTAACAGAAATATATGTAATGACCATTGAAAACATGAGAACCTGATACAAGTCTACTCTTCAGTCTTTTCAAAATAATTGACCATGCAGAAAAATACACCAGGTAATTTTTTATATGCATTTTCGCATTTCAGATGAAAATGATGCTGCTTTAGCACTGAAATGTTCTCCAACAAAAAAGTCAAAGGAGAGTACTGAGACCCTTAAAAGATGTGGAGAAACACCAACTAGATCAAGTCTAAGGACAAAACTGTGCACAAAACAGTTATCAGGTAAAGAAAATACACTTTGTATCACATAGTGATAGGATCCATTGATTTAAAATGACTGACCTATAACTAATGAAAAGTGCATATAAATGAATTTGAAATGGAGAAAAAAAAAACAGAAATGAATTGACTTTGTCAATCCATTAAGATAGTACTGTAAACCAAATTTTATTTGCCTGTAAGAAATTTTCATGATGTTCACGAGAGCCTTGTCATGGTGAAAATTTTTCTCGCCACAAACCGATCCTTAAAGTCTTTGTCTCTATTAACAACAGATTAAAAAAAAGGCTTGATCATGAAAATTAATCGTCGCTAACTAATTAACCCACGGTAACTTGCAAAATAAAGTCAATGCGAATAAAAGTTGGTTTGCAGTAAATAATATATGACATCTTGCCCAACCATGTTATAATTTCATGTGCTTGGTAAAATGTACTATATTGAGAGTTTAATTTTTTGAGCAGATTCTGAAAATGTACCCCAGCCTGAAACAACGGAAAAGCTGAAAGATGGGATTTTTTCTTCTCCAGCCAAACAAAAAGCTATAAATTCCACAACTTCAGGTAACATTCTTATACACTTTATCAACTGTCAAATTCCAATCTCAACTGAATGGGACCCCCAAAAATTTGAAGATATCCAAAAACTTATTGTTGCACAAATTAAAATGTTTTAAAAATTTCAGTTGGATCAAAGGTGAAGTCTCCACTTAAAGCAAACAATGGTGCTGATAAAGAGAATACACCGGTCAAGGCGAAATTACCAGGTATAAAATGAACTGAACAGCTTGATATATAATATTGTATTACAATATGTCTATTGATTGTAGTCCAAACATACATTGTAAAAACTCCAGATTTCAATTTTCAATCAAATTGATAGTTTGTAATCATGAAGGCATTATGATTTTGTTTGTAGGGATTTGTAGTGTTAAGCCTTTGTCATCACCAGCCAGAAAACAGATTTTAGCAGAGGAGAAAAAATTATCATCCCCAGTGCTCAAACTCCAACGTCCTAATGGTAAGGAAGCAAAAATTGGTGAAAATTTAGTTGATTACACATCTTTACAAATGGCTCATATTTTAGGGCTAATAAATTATTTGTAACAAGGTAAGCACATTTTTAAAGACTATTATATATAATGTACTACCAAGAAAGAATTGTATTCATAGAATCCATAGTTAAGTTTATGTTGTGTTAACCAGTTTTGACTTCATAAGAAATACTGATAATATTACCGATATGCATTTTATATAGGACAAGCATATCATAAAGCCAAGCAGACATTTCACACAGCTAAACCTGACAGACTGGTAGGAAGGGAGAGAGAGGTGGAAGAAATTAACAAGTTTGTCAAAAGTCACGTCTCCAATAAAACCTCAGGCAGCCTCTATATTTCTGGAGCCCCAGGCACAGGCAAAACAGCGTCACTATCACACATCTTGGACAACATCAAAGTATGAACAAAAATTATTTATTATAAAAAGATTCTTTGATTCCACTATTAGATTACAATCTTGATTGGTAAAAAAAAAATCTCTACGAACAACTATTAATTGCATATAAATATACATGAAATAACTACTGGATAAAATGTTTGTGTCTTTGTTTACTTTAATTCATGTATGCTTTTCAGAAAAGTGTGTTCTCTATTAAATCAACAGATTCTGGAATAAACCAGTAAATTGTGATTTTGCAGGCATCTCACAGCTGTAAGAGTCTGTACTTGAACTGCATGACACTGAAAGACTCGGCAACAGTATATGGGAAGTTATACACTGACTTGACTGGAAAGTCGCCACCATCAGCCAAGGACAGGCTTCGAGCTGTGGAGAAATGTCTGACAACAACGGGACCCAGCATGTAAATAACAGAAACGGCTTGATATTAATAGTGAAATTAATTTTTTTTAAAAAAATTGTTCAAAGAACATCTGATATTTTATTATGGATCATGATATTTCTTTGTAGAATAATGGTTTTGGATGAAATAGATCAGCTGGACAGTAAAAATCAAGAAATCCTCTACACGATTTTTGAGTGGCCCTCTTTACAGAAATCTCGACTTGTATTGATAGGTTAGTTACTTAAAGAGTTAAATAAAAAACTAGCTTATTCTCCTTCTAAAAGAAAAATGTAATGCTGAATATAATAGCACTATTTCAGAAAACAATTTTTTTCAAAATGATAAAAATCATGACCTAGGTAATGAAATTTATGAAAATTTGAAGTTCATGTTGACGAACAAAATAAATGTTTGGATAGAAGTTGATCTCTTTGTAAGTATGAATAGTAATCAACATTTATCCTCAAGTTTGGGCATTTAACTTTGATAGATATGATAGACATAAGCATTTTTGGGAGGTATAAAAATTAAAAAAAAATCATAATGTACATGAACCTGTATTTTTTATTCCAACCATTGATATAAACTTGTTATAATGATCATTCTCTATCCTACAGGTATTGCCAACGCATTGGACCTGACAGACAGAATTTTGCCTCGTCTGCAAGCCAGGCCAAACTGCAAGCCACAGCTGCTGAATTTTGCTCCCTACAGTAAGGAACAGATTGCTGCTATTCTCCAGGACAGACTACTGATGGTATGAATTAAGAACAAGAGAGGAATTTAAAATTTGAGAGGGAGAGAGGCAATAGGGGGGTTAAACTCTTTTGTAGGAAAGGAATAAAAGTAATTCAGGCAAAAATTCAAAGCTGGACTTCATTTCGTTCATTTATAAAGGCTATATTTTGAGTATCATACAAATATGGAAAACATAAATTCTTAATTGAATGTGGCTTGTAGTTTTGTCACACTGTGATTTGATTATATGAAAATGTGAATCTCTTTTAAAACTCCTGAAAATGATACTGGACTAATTTAAAGTTCTTTACATTATTCATTGTTTAATATATTTATTTAGTTTGTTTTCCTTGATTACAGCTGGAGAAGGATGGTGTATCTGTTATGGAGCCCAGTGCGGTGCAGTTCTGTGCCAGGAAGATATCCGCAGTGGCAGGTGACATGAGGAAAGCACTGGATGTGTGTCGCCGCGCCATTGAAATGGTCGAGCACGAAGTTAAAGCTCAACAGGTCTTAAAAGTCTCGGCAGCTGGTTAGTATTTTAAAATGCAATGTACTGTAGGTCTTAAAGTAAGGAAAAGGATATATATTATGTTTGAAGAAAACTAGGAGGATCAAAATAAAAGTGAACGAAAAGTTTATCATCTTATTATATAGTTTAGGGAAAAAATTATTGACTTTCATTTAGTAGATTTTTGGTTGCTCCTTTAGATGTCAGTGCGACAAATGATATTTAAGATTTTCATTTATACTTGATTTTAAATTTAAAAAAATGATTGAACATAAGCATTTTAAGGAACAATATGCATGGGGTAGTAATTCAAACAAAAAAATATTTCAGATTGTCTAAACAGTCCCACCAAAGTAAACCCTCCAATTAAGAAGATCGGAGTCATGCAGATTTCCAAAGTGTTGTCGGAAGTGTACGGCTCTAGTTCAACTTCTAACAGTCAAGAAAGCATTCCTCTACAGCAGAAACTTATTGTGTGCACACTCCTTCTTATGGTGAAACAGGGAAAATTAAAAGAAGTCACCATGGGCAAAGTAAGTAGAATGATATATTGTCAATCATGAAAATGGTCTTTAAAATCAAATATGAATTCAAGAGTCATACTTCAGAAAGACAAATTTTGTGATAAAAAATATATACAGAAAACCTACATTTATTTTACCAAGAAAACCCTGAATGTTCATACATGATGTCCTCTGTGTTCTTCTCTAAGCGGAAACTAAATACATTTCAGCTACACGACACGTACACTAAGATATGTAAGAAGAGACAGATGGCCTCAGTAGATTACTCCGAGTACCAGGGTATAATCAGTCTCCTGGAAACCCGCGGTATTACAGGGATCAAGAAAGTCAAAGATGGAAGGATGGCAAAGGTATTGTTAATCAACCTGTCTCTTTTGTCAATATTTATGATAATCAGGGTTCTCCATGAGCCGTTTTACTGTGTTGCAAGCAACACAGTAAAATTTTCTCCAACACAGTAACAATTCAAATTGTATGCATGCAACACAGTAAAAATTTTGCCAACACAGAAAGATCTGTGACAATTAGAAAATCTAAACACACAATTCCTCTCTTACTGAGACTTTAATTAAACAATTATATCCTCTTTCAATTATAAAAGTTAGAGCACTTAAACACTAGGACTTCACCTTGCATAATCAATTAATTATCTTTTAGACCCTCACCGGACTTTACGCATGATAGAACGAAGACAAATGATTTGTTTTCACACTTCCATGTAAGGGTTAATTGGTAGTTGCAATAAAATACAGTGTATAATTTAAAAAAAAAATATTTAAATATGTCTTTTCTATAGAGCCACGGCTCTAGAATTATTTTAGCACTGTTAAGTCAGACATAACATAAGTCATTCAATTGATGTAAATAAATTGCTTAAAATTTTGAACATGTTCTAGGAACTCTTAAAATATTTTACTGTTCTGAAGTTTCTTTTTTTTTTGTTTTTGTAATGTGATAATTCGATCACGAAAACTGATAAATAATCACGGCAAATTTACTTTGAAAAATGTTAATTAGTACGACTGTATCGGTCAGAATTTCCTCTGCTTTTCAGAATGTACGTGTTTTTACTTTTCTCAAAATGTACAACCATACCATTTGTGTAACTAATTAGCGATTTTTAAAAATAAGTGTGTGCATGTATTCTTTTGTAATTTTCATAAATAGTGATTTAGTTGCGAATTTGATCGCGAAAATTCCGCGAAATTTTAGTTCTTCGCGTTAACTCTGCAACACAGTAACATTTCAAATGATGGAGAACCCTGGATAATTATCATAGAAGATGACCCACTTTTTCTACAGCCAGTGTTTATAATTTTACAAGTACATGTATGTATACATTGTACATGTATGTTGTTTCATAGCTACAACCATATGAGTATGGCTTATTGTACAATGTTAGGCCATATAAAACTGAAATCTTGGTTCTCAGGCCCGCGCGCATCCATTTTGAGGTAGCCGCATTGCCGATTTTATTGTATTTTTGATAAAATAAAAAGTTGGTATTGCGGAGACCAATCCGGGAAAAAAAATTCTGACCTCATTTGTTTCGTAGTTTAGTATTCAAATATCACTTCCGGTAGCCATTTACAATGAGATTTTGGCTACTTCGTTTGAAAATACTTTCAAGGACATTACCTATGATGTTTACACGCTGTTAAGCAATGGATAAAGCAGAAATTTTGACCAGAAATGGAAAGTATATATGTGATTAAAAAAATTATCTTTATGTTAAAGAAAAATCGGAAATTAAAATTAAAAAAAAATACCTCCCTCATCTACTTTATTGCCAATAAAATGAAAAATAAAATGCCGCCCTCCCGCATCTGTTTTGGAGAAAATTGGCCTGAGAACCAGGGAATTAAATTTAGATAGCCTTAATACTTGTACTCAGGTTTTAAATCGATCTATTTACTCTTGAAGGTAGCGCTGAAGCTGGATGAAAAAGAACTTGAACATGCTCTTCAAGACAAGGTTTTGATGTCGTCAATTCTACAAGATGGTCTACCATAGATTGATTGTTAGTAATCACCCGCCTCTGTACAATGTTTTAATGTATTTGGTTTTACACAAGGGATTTTATTGCCATGTCATGGAGATCAGAAATCCCAGAAAACAGACAGGGGAGCAAATTGTTAAAATATTGAATGTGAAGTAATTGTAGTATATTATAGCTGAATAATTTTTAAACTAGTTTTTAATTTTTATTCCTGGTAATTCCTTATTTTTTAGAATGGGGATTTTTTGTCTTATTTTTATTAAATACATGTATCACTTGATTATTGTGAATGCTTAATTATAAAGGCAAGTTTTATTTAGTATAAAACATGTTTTGCATAGTTTACAAATGATCATGAATGCATGTAAACTTGATGCTATGGATGGTATGGAAGATAGATTTAGCCTGTATTTATATGGTATGGTGAAATATTCAAACAAGATGATTTGAGAAGTATTGTAATTTATAGCATGGAATATTTGTTGCTTTATGTATGTGTATTTATTTTACAAGGGTTTCAGTGCAAATTGTTGAAAGGAAGCACTTTAAATATAAAGTTGAATACATTTCACATGACCATTTTTGTTAAACAAAAACATTTTAGTTTAGATTTGCTTTTCTTTCAGAATTATTAAGCCTAAGAATAAAATATATTTACTCATAGAAGCTGAATGTAAAACGATTTTTTTCTTTAAGATAGAGACATAATTTTGAAATGCATTTAAAAAAAACAGTTTGAGGCTCTCCTCTAAACATACATGGTTAATACATATTTTTCTCAAAGCCAACTTGCTAACTTTAAAATGCATCTAAAAGGGACTTCACAGTCTAATAACCATTACTGTATGTTTGAAAGAAAAGATACAATCACACAATTGTTATTTATCAACAAATTGCATGAAATTGTAGTCAGTTGCATAAATATATTGTTCTTAGGCCTTGGAAAAACATACACTTTTTGTACCACAAAAGCATTGGGATGTTGATTTATTTCTCCAAAGGTACATTTGTGTATAACATGAATTATCAAATTATTTGCTATTTGGTTTAGTCATTTCTAGTTTTCCATTTGAAAAAAAAAAATCTTTCATTAATGTACCGCAGTATATGCATAGAATATGCATAAAATTGTACATGCTTTACAACTCAGTGTATGAATAGTCGACATGCGTAATTTATTATGAGAGACAATTGAACTATATTTTTTTCTTGGAGTGTGTCGCTTCTTGACTTGCAGTTACTTTTGTTTTCATCAATGACTTCTTGATTAATTTCGATATAAATTATTGTTAGTACTGTAGAAGTACTTTTTTCCGCGTGGTATTAATTTACACTATGTACGCGGTCACAAATTTTCCGCGGAAATTTGTCCAAGCGTACTTAATATAAATGTAAGGCATACAGTGACAGTCAAGAAAATCAACGCGGATTAAACAGAAATTGAGATTCCGCGGAATCATGACCCCGCGGAAAAAAATATCTCTACAGTATTCTGGAAAGTTTCTATAAGACAATACTTACATGTATGTACATTTATTTATATCAACATATTAAGTATTTATTTAAATTTTTTTATTTAAAGTTTTGAGTAATTCATATCTAAATGTATCTGATTTTGCATTTATAATAAAATGTTGCATTGAATGCTTGTTTCAGCATTGTTTCATGAAATTGGTGTCAGATAAAGAGGAACTTTTATATATGCATCACTTCTTTGCCAGGACCTATGTCCCCAAGCATTCTTGGATTTAAAAGAAATTCAAGTTTTTCAAACTTATTTAAAGTTGCCACTACATGAATTTGTTTTAAACAAGCATGTAGATTTGTTTTGACATAATGAATAGACAATAATTTTAACTCACCTGAGCTGAAAGCTATAGTGAGCTTTTTAGGTCATCACCTTAGTAAACTCAGGTGACCTATTGCTATCTGTTTTCGTCCGTCTTGCGTTGTCCGTTAACATTTGAACATTTTCAGCTTCTTCTCTGCAACCACTGAACCAATTTCAACCAAATTTGGCACAAAGCATCTATGGGTGAAGGGGAACAAAAATTGTGAATTTCATGGTCCCTGCCCCCCTGGGGCCTGGTGGGTGGGGCAAAAACCACTAAAATTAATGCAATCTTTAAAAATCTTCTTCTTTACTCCTGGACATCAAGTAGTCAAAATGTTTGCATGATTGTAATCAGCATTGAGTCCTCTACCAGAATTGTGAAATTCATGGCCCTGGGGTCAGGGGTTCTATTGCTAGGGCGGGGCTAAATAAGTATATATTGAAAATGCATTATTTCTTTGAAAATCTTCTTCTCTGCTCCTGGGTATTAAATAAACTAACTAAGTGCATAGTTATGATGTGCAAGAGTGCCTCTACCAAAATTGTGAATTTTATGGCCCCAGGGTCAGGGTTCGGGTGTTAGGGCGGGGCTCTATTGATTATATAATGAAAATACATGAATTCTTTGAAAAAATTTCTTTTCTCTCCTAGGAATTAAATAAACTAAGTACATAGTTATGATGAGCAAGAATACCTCTTCCAAAATTTTGATTTTATGGCCCTAGGGTCAGGGGTTCTAGTGATAGGGCAGGGCTCTATTGATTATATAGTGAAAATACGTTAAATCTTTGAAAATCTTCTTCTCTGCTCCTGGGTATTAAAAAATCTAACTAAGTACATAGTTATGATGAGCAAGAGTGCCTCTTCCAAAATTGTGAATTTTATGGCCCTAGGGTCAGGGGTTCTGGTGTTAGGGCAGGGCTCTATTGATTATATAGTGAAAATACATTAAATCTTTGAAAATTTTCTTCTCTGCTCTTGGGTATTAAGCAGATGAACTACCTATGTAGTTATGATGAGCAAGGACCCTAATCTTCCAGAATTGTGAATTTCAAGGCCCCAGGGTCAGGGGTACCATAGGGGGGGTGTACTTATATACTGAAACTGGATGAATTGTTTGAGATCTGCTCCTTGGTATTAATCAAATATTTTTGAAAAGCAAGGGTGCCTTTTCAAAAATTGTGCAATGTGTGGATCTAGGCCTAAGGGTCAGGGGTTCATGTGTGATAGGGGCATTACTGATTATTGCTGAATATTACTTATTACTTGAAATGCATTTTTTGCTCCCCCACCCTGCCTATGGGTATTAAGTAAACAAAGTAAGCAATTGCTAAGTGTATTGTTATGATGATCAGTGGTGTCTGTTTCAAAATTGTGAACGCCATAGCATCTGGATTAAAACATGAATTAAATTAAATCACTGGAAAGTTGTTGCATAATGCTCAGGTGACCTATAAGGCCCATGGGCCTCTTATTTGATTACCCATGTCCATCATCCACCCATCTCTCCGTCTTTTCACATTTTCAACTTCTTCTCAAGAACCATGCACTGGGCCAATTTTGATCAAGCTTGGTACAAAGCATTCTTGAGTGAAGGAGGAGTTTATCAAGATGACAAAAATAGGATAAAGTCATTACAAAATCTTCTCAAGAACACTGGGCCAGAAAAGCCTAAACTTATATAGAAGCATCATGGGTAGTGTTGATTCTGAATTGTCCAATTCATGACCCTGAGGGTAGGGTGGGGTCACAATGAGTATTACGGGGGGGGAGATCTGCTAAAGAACAGCATGGCCAAAGTTACTCAGGTGAGCGAAGTGACCCATGTCATGTGTCTCTTGTTCATATCCAATATACAGCTTCTCTTGGCTAAAGCATACTAGCTGTAGATATTATAATATACGAGTACATATACTTTATCACTGAGATGACTTGGACATCAAATTGCAAGAAAATAACTTCTGAACAGAGACATATAATTTGGCGCGAAAATGAGTCAGCGGTCCCTCTATTATGTCTCTGTTCTGAATGACAGTTACATGGATTTTGGTGTCATAAAAATGAATAATTCATTCGTTTGGCAAGTGGTGCATTTCCTGAATTAAGCAATTGTTAATTCTATGCAAACATTTGGATATCTACGTACAGTGAATTTGGAAGGTATACAGTGTATTATTTTAGGGTAAAAGCGATTATAAAAAACGTGTGTTTTAAACGGATCGGGATCGACATACAATAAATTTTGTGAGAAGAAACAACAACTACACAAGAACTTACATTTTTACTTATGTGGAAGATCGGAGGGTAATTATGATTATTTACTGGCAGAATCACTGCATTGTGGTACTCATTTCGATGTTTCAGAGATTTACAGTTTGCTGAAACGTATCAATTAGTTGTACTTTAAGTAATTAACCAACACCATTGAACAGTCACTAAATGACTAATTGACCAGGTCCGGCACAATCTCTTGATTAAGCTATATATCTTGATTTAGCTATATAGCTTTATTAAGCTATTCAGAATAGCTTGATTAAGCTATTTTCTCAGACTTTTTTCTCAAATGTGTTATTTCTTCAACAGGTGAAAAAATTCGCACCTTGGTGCAGTGGAAATATTAAACTTTGTACTGCTCTGAATACAATGCATGTAAAAATCACTCACCAAATTGCGTCCCCTTGAGAGACTTTTTACTCAAAGTTTTAAATGTTTTGGGGCTATTGATGAGTGACCACACAGTTATTTCTTGAATGAAATTATAAAGGAGGCCAGTTATGGCCAACAGGATAATTGATTAGTAACAGTTCAGCACAATGAGAAGCAATCATACTTACCCACGCCTCACCACACACACAGTTACTCAAATAATGGAAATTTATATTTTGCTTAAAAGTATTCAACAGCAGCAATGTTAAAACTTTCTATGATTTAGGTTGAATTTTTGATAGTCCATAGTACATATATGAATAGTAAAATATTTACGACTTTTTGTTTATTTTTTTTCAAAAAACGTTTTTGTTAAAAATTGCATATAAATAGCTTTATCAAGCTATTTTGAATAGCTTAATAAAGCTATATGGCTTTTTAAAGCTATATAGCTTAATCAAGAGATTGTGCTGGACCTGTTGACATGATTGACAAAACCTAAAACAGTTTTGTGCTAAGGGAAGAATACATTCTAAATATTGTTTCATATTTTATTTACGATGTCAAACATAATGAGAGTATATGTGATTAATTAAATATACGTAAATTTCTGAGGTTGGAGATAAAACTAGTTTAGAGGGGTTTCATTTGTACTTCATCACTGTTCATTATACATGATAAGTTGGAGGAGAAAGTGAAAGTATGTAGGATTTCCTTCACGTGTAGTTTGGTGAGATATCAAGTCGATGAATCTAATAAGTATATAAAACTATGTTATAAATTTAAAAATGAACAGTGTATGGTCATAATGTAGGTAATCATAGGTGGATCCAGGAATCTGTAAAAGGATGGGACCACCGCCCGATCATTTGGACAGTTTTCACTGCCCACACTCGGTCCATTTGCACCTCATTTGATTTGTTTATAAGATGGAAACAGTTTTAAACTTCCTTTTCATCAATATTTAATAATGCTTGATCTCTCAATCTCCCTAGATATCTCTCTTTTTTTTTATCCAAAAAGACAACACTATCATCTCCTGAGTCTAAAGTTCTCCAACATGTCTAATTTATAAAATATACTTATAAAACTGAAAGGAGAATAATTTAATGCTATTTCTCATCTGTTCTATGATAGTTTATTTAAAATGTCAAAATGTTTGAAACTGTAATGATAAACATTACATGCATTTTATATATACTATAAACATGTAGTTTCTCTTTAAGTTGTAAATTTTGAATATCCAGTTCGGACAGTTCCACATCTTTGTTTCCACATACAGCAGGCCTGTGTCTGTATTCTGTTTGGAAATTTTCAGGATTATGGAGCTTTGATGAAAATGTAAAGATCTCTAAAAACAAGAAAATTGAGAAAACTATCATTATCAAAGAGAGAGAAAAAACCATCAGCATTTTCCATAAAAAATATTCCATGCATTTTATTGTAGCTTAAAAATTGTGAATCATTTATATGAACTGGATCTAATTAGTTGCCAATTCATATTATATATTTTTAATACTATGCTGTATTTAAATGATCTTGTTATGTTTTATCCATAATCATTCGATTGTGATTGTTTATTGCCATTGTAACTTGTAACAATATTTTTGATTTTCCAGATAAAATTATGATCACTCTCTCCAAGAAGTTAAAACAACCCCAAGAGTCCCCCAAAAACAAGATTGTTCAGGATGACGTCACAAAGAGAATTTCAATTCGAGATAAACTTTTAGTCAAAGGTACTGGTATTTTTTATTTTAAATGAAAATAATTAGGTTAACACCAAATTAAACATGGATATGTTGATGTGAGTTTGAAGCTCTAACCACTCTTTCTCAGGGTATTTTAACCTCTATATCACACACTCTGGGATATCTTGGTCCAGTCTAGTTTGAGATAACAAGATTTAATTGACTGTATTTTGTTGGTTTTTATTTTGTATTTTTTTCTCATTTCTTACAGAGGTTCAAGAGATGGAGGAGAACTTACCAAAAACCTGCACAGTGCATTTTGATGATCCAAATAAATTACACATTTTCACATTGACCATTGTACCCGATGAAGGTTTTTGGAAGAGTGGGAAATTCAAGTTCACTCTTGATATACCCGAAGAATATAACATTGTAGTAAGCAATTTCACAATCATTCATGTTATTTTAAGGTGGATCATTACATTATTAGTGAGCAATAATCTTGATAAGCATTCATGGAAGGGTTAAAGTGGTTAATTTAATGCATTACAAGTGAAATGGATTCATTTGGAAATTTTTGGTAATGTTTTCACAGCATTATATAGATCTTTGAGAATAATTTGGAGATTTGGTTGAAATTGTAGTAAAAAATATTATGAATTGATGTTATCTTGATATTCAAAAAAAAATCCCCATACATGTTCATCACAATGCATTTTTTTTTTGGATACAAACCCATAGTAATTGAGAATTGTACAATTATATTGAGGCATATAGGGTTGATCAAAGCCATAGAACCTTGGAGTTATCTTATTTACTAAATTTTTAATTATTTTTAGACAAACATTTTAACATGTTTATTAAGAATGTCGGTAACAAGTAATACTGGTAGCTTGATATCCTTTGACATATATACATGCATACTAGCTTTTTCTTAATACCCCTGATAAACAATAACACAAGAAGGATTATTGTAAAAAATTTTTTCTTATCAATGTTTGTAAAGGCAGGAAATAATATACACACTCAGTAAGCTTGTAAATTTTTAAAGTCACTACTTATTTTTCCTTGTAACTGTGATTTGTTTCCTCTATGACCAACAAATGTTTTCAAGAATTTGGACAACAGAGACTTTCAAATTTCTCCAAATAGAAAGTGAAATATTTGTATCAGATGGTAATATAAAAAGAACTTTGATTTACTCATGCGAGATATATACACATATAAGGTACTTAGTTGATAAAAATCTTTTCCAACCACGAACAATGAAAGATTCTTTTTATCACATGATTTACTTAGCTTTTAATTGTTTTACAGTGATTTTTATTTAAATCCACATTAATTTTACTTAATTATTTTAATTCCAAAAACCAAAGCAACGTTACATGTTGATAATTAATGTTGATGTAAAAGTGATATCATATGAGTGATAGCCACTGTATAAAGGATGAAACATGAGGTAATATTGTTCTCTTTTCCCTTATAGCCACCTCAGGTTGTATGTAACACAAGGATATGGCACCCTAACATCAACGAAGATGGAGAAGTTTGTTTAAGTTTGTTACGTCAAAGTTCTTATGATAGTCTGGGTATGTGTTGAATATGGATTCATAAATCACAAATGTAAATATATATGTGTTTAGTTGAAAACCTTATTTTCTATATTTATAGTGCTGTAATAATGGTCTAAATGCTGCTTAGTTTTTAGCTCACCTAAGCTGAAGGCTCAAGTGAGCTCTACTGATCACATTTTGTCCATCGTTCATCCGTCTGTCCGTTCGCCTGTCTGTCTGTTAACTTTTCACATTTTTGACTTCTTCTCAAGAACCACTCTGGCAATTTTAACCAAACTTGGTACAAAGCATCCATAGGTAAAGGGGAGTTTAAATTGTAAAAGTAAAGGGCCAAGACCCCTCACAAGGGGAGGTAATCAAAAAAAGACAAAAATAGGGTGGGGTCATTAAAAAATCTTCTTCTCAAGAACCACTGGGCCAGAAAAGCTTAAACTTATTTAGGAGCATGCTGGGATAGTGTAGATTCTAAATTGTTAAAATATGACCCCCGGGGGTTGGGCGGGGCCAAAATAGGGAATCAAAGATTTACAGAGAAATAAATAGGAAAAAAGTTTTAAAATCTTCTTCTCAAGAAACCACTTGGCCAGAAAAGCTGAAATTTAATTGGAAGCATCCTTGGGTAGTGTAGATACTAAATTGTTCACATCATGACCCCTGGGGTTGGGCGGGGCCACAATAGGGAATCAAATTTTACATAGAAATATATAGGAAAAAAGTTTTAAAATCTTCTTCTCAAGAACCACTTAACCAGAAAAGCTGAAACTTAATTGGAAGCATCCTTGGGTAGCGTAGATACTAAATTGTTAAATTGTGACATTGTGGGGAGGGGGTACGGCATGACAATAGGTATTACAAGGGAGGAAATCTGGTAAAGAATGGCATCACCAAAGTTACTCAGGTGAGCGATGTGGCCCATGGGCCTCTTGTAATGAAAAAAATACACTAGTCTACTATTAATTGTTAAAATAGATAGAATGTCGTGAATTTTCCTATATGGAAGTCTTGCATTTACTTATATACGATTTTTTTGGTGTGGTCTTTGGAAGAATAGTTAGAATTAAAAGTTATCTCCCATTATCACTATTTTGAAAGCTTAAATTAGGTTTACACTGAAATAATTTTTTCCCACAATTATAGTTTTCTTAAACACGTGATTTATTTTGTAAACATTTCTATTGCAGGATGGGCACCAACCAGAAGATTGAAAGATGTAGTTTGGGGATTAAATTCATTATTTTCAGTAAGTTTATAGTACAACCTGATACTACAGAATGCTATGCTGCACTCATTCTCCAAGCAAATATTCAAAATCAGATGGATACTGTATAGGGGATTAATTTCACGGGTTGTAATTTTCGCGTTTTTCTTCCATCTGACACGATCGCGGTTTCTTGAATTCGCGGAATTGATATAAAATAAAATTTACCTCCCTTGTTTATATCCGTTTAGCTACATGTAAATGACATCAACAGGGTAGGTTAATATAAAATTGTTAGATTTGATAAATAATTGACGATTGATTAATTAAAACAGGTGCAGTTATAAAACGTTGTTGACAATAAACGTCTAATGACTTTCCTATATGCTAGGCCTCTTACGATGAGTGCATGTACACCCGAAGATCTTCAATACAACGCAGCGAAAAACCACTGGACGGTAATAAATGTGTTTATGTAGGTCAACAAAATAATATCTTTCCAAAATCTTCAGTAAGTTCGATAGGTACTTGAATGTTTTTAAAACGTCGATAAAAATTAATATGCATGATAATGCAGGTACATGTAACAAATACACGTGGTAACATTAGTTACGCACGTGTAATCAAAACCTTGTCCCACGTGTTTTGATTGACGAAGCATGTAGCGTTGGCTATTAAAACAGCTTCTTAACAAAGACAGGTTATTATCTGCTGATTAGTATTAAAGTAAAGCGTGATAATTAAAATAATTGGATGACAATTACTACTCGTAATTACTGAAATGACCATGTTCTGCACGTACATGTATATAAACCCATCGTAGTTTATTCTCAAATTTCCAGATAAAATATGGAGATTATTGAAAATTTATTCACTGAAAGATTAATGAACTGAATATAGCGTATTAACACCGCGAGTTATTTTCCCCCTATACAGTAATGAAAGATACTGTTACATTTTTGGGTCACTGTCCCTAGATCGGGGTGTCTTTGCCAGTTTTCTACATTTCAAAAGAGAGATAAAACTGCTTAACTTATTCATAGAATAAAGCAAATTTACATGCTTATTTTGGAGATTGTTAACATGTATGTTTGCATCTGTTTAATGTTTCAGGATTTATTGAACTTTGACGATCCTCTAAATGTTGATGCTGCAGATCACTACTCTAGAAACAAGGTACAACAGTTGTTTAATAAAAGGAGATTTAAAAAAATACAGAGAGACTAAAACAAGTTATCTAACTTAATAATGATCTGTAATTGATTTTTTGAATTATTTGTAGTTATTTATATAATTCTAAGTAATCAGCAAAAGAACAATATATCTTCCCTTTAAATGAATTTGAGGTACAGATTTTTTTGTTAACTTTTCAGGAGTCATTCAAAGCAAAAGTGAGAGACTATATACAGATGTATGCAACAAGGTGATACAGATTGACCTTTAACCTCTCTAATGTGCCACCAGTGTGACTTCGTGATAGAGTTTACAGCAGTTAGCATTATAAAGGAACAATTTACAGCTGAGGTCTCAGGCTTTTTTCCCCAAAACAAGGACACAGTGGGCTTATGTTTACAGAGTGGAGTGTTTTGTCATGTACACACATTAGGCTTTCAGTCATTAGCTCCTACTCAGTCTAAGATAAACTAGAAACATATAATTTTTGTATATTATACCTAAAATTTCTATTCCGTTTTTATTATACATTTATTGCTTTGATTCATTATATAACGATATTCTGGGTGATTTTTTCCCCCCAGAATGATGAACAATGGTTATGCAGGTTCATCAACAATTGATATGATATGTACAGTGCTTATATTGTCTCTGTTCAAGTATAAAAAGGTTTTCCTTAGTAAATGCCAGTTTGAAAATGCCCAATAGTGTTTTGAAAGTGGTACACAAATCCTCTTCTTTATACTTGTTTGTTTGAAATCTTGTGTTTTGGAGCATGGTGCTAATCATATTCTAATAACAAACTGGTAGTGATATTTTACTTTAGGATGTTTCATTTGGTTAAGAACATGTGAAGCTTTATAAGTAGTAAGTCTATATACATGTACATGTAGTGACTTTTTTACTGTGTATGAATATTTTCAAATTGATTTATATTGAGTTGAATGTAATTTCAAGCTTTACAAAGTGAAGAGTTATGACATAGTATTTCTGTGTGATGGGTTTCAAGCAAATAATAAATACAAATCTGATATCTGAAGAAAAGAAATAGTAAGGAGATATATTGAGATGATAAGGTAAAGACTTGCTGTTTGTTGAATACAAACACTATACAGAATACTTCCAGTACTTGTGTGCATTCGTTTAACTTTGTTTCATATGAAGATACGAAGTTTAAATGTACTGCTTGATCTCCAGAAAGTGATATTTTGTTTCCAGTTGTGGAGATAGCTGAATCCTGCATAACTACAGGAAAAAAAGTGGTTACTCGACTAAATTTGACTATGTAGACCTGTAACAGTATATGCATAGAATGTATTTAATTATGTCATCAGTTGTGTATGCTTTCAAATTAAGCTGAAGTTAACGAGGAGTATGTTTTATTCTTTATTTTCTCCCTATCTTCCATTGTCATGTATGCTGTTTGTCATTATGACTTGCATAGAATACTGGAAATGGCTTTATTAATAGTTTTCTTTTTTTAGAAGACAATGAATGTTGAAAACAGGCAAAGCCTTAAAATGTAATAAGAATTGTTACTTCTACCCATTTTAAGATACTACTAATAAATTATGGATATTTGAATGTGATGAACTGAATTGTTTATTTTCTTATTAATGTGTACAATATTTCTGGAATGATGATACTCGAAACGTTTAATACAGACAGTGCACGTTAAGAAGACACAAAATTATGAAATGTAAGGCAAGAATCATGCAACACCTTCTGTACATGTTTTTTTTTCAACTTCCTGTTTACTCAAAAGCATCATTGGATTGTCTTGAGACCTGTATTTATGTGTGTCAAGCTTGGCTCAAAGTGATTCAGATTAAGGTCACTTCACTCCACAAAGAGTCACTGAAAGTTTGAAACAAGGTCACTGGTGATGCATGTGTGCTATTAAAAAATGGAAAAAAGTCATATCTGAAAATTTCAAGGTCACTGAGCAACGATATTGTGACTATTGAGTATTCCACCCAAATGGTTACAAGATGAAACTTTAGAATCTGAATAAAATGTATGTTGTTGCTAATGGTCTAAAGGTGTGATGACATTGACTTAGCTAAGATTAAGTATATCATCAAGGTCATACTGTATAGGGCTAGAGGAATGATTGAAGAAGTGGAAGAGATCCATTATGAAACATCTCTCAATTTAAATGCTATAGAAAAAAGTACATTTAGTTTTTTTAAAATAAAAAAAAAATATTCTTCCAATTTCACAAAAAATAAATAAAAAATAGAAGGATAAATCCAAGCTGAGTTAAAGAAAATGGTTGAGATCAAATCTTGTTTTGCAGAATTAAAAAAAAAAAAGACGATTCCAATTCTTCAACACTTGTGTTTTCTTGTGTCAAACTGAGAACCATCCTAGCAGTTATCTATATAAGAAAATTCTTGCTTACTCTGAAATATCATCGGATTACACAAGAAAACCTCAAGCCCAAGCTTACGTTTTGGTGGTTTCCATTGTAATACCATTGTCAAAAAAGAAAAAAAAATGCTTGATTATTCTTTTGTAATTTACAGAAGTAATGTAAAAATCATATTTTGTCTAACTTGATGAGCAATGCCAGGTAAAGTCATCCAAGCAGAACGCGACGTGCATACCTAAAGATGTAGAGCAAAGGAATGTTCGATTTTGGTGAATTTTTTTGAATTAAGTTATGTCTCAAATTGACCATTATGTCACAAATCATAATCGCAGATAACATAAGCATTAATTATTTTATGCGCCATGGCCTGTCTTTAAATTCCTGTCGTAATGGACAATTTTCGGCTTACCATTACATACTGTATTACTTCAAAACCCGAAAAAAAAATTGTATTTGTAATTTCAATAATATATACATGTATACACGTATTCTAATTTTTCCTTTGTAATCAAAAAATTAACATGCATTCTCAATTTCTGTTTTATTAAAACAGCGACCCTTTATTTCCCTGTCTACCCTTAAATCTTCATTATATCTTTTTACAGGTACAGCACACAGCAGCAACGAGGTAAAGCAATAAGATATAACGAAATCAAAGGGTTTCTGTACTAGGGCTAGGACGATACAACTTTTTCTATATTCATTCGTATATTGATATTTGAGCCACATACGATATTATCACGATATGTTTAATTGCTTATAAAATCTTTTTTGCATTAAAATAAACAAATTATAATTTCTTTGCAAATAAGAATAATTTATTCAAAATTGTTGTTTATATGTTGTAAAACAAAAATATTTTACTCAAGTGGTGTTAATTTATATTTAGCTTATTCATTATATATATATATATATATATATATATATATATATATATATATATATATATATATATATATATATATATATATATATATATATATATATATATATATATATATATATATATATATATATATATACATATATTAAACCCCAAATGTTAAATAAACAAAGAAAAACAGAAGTCAGATTTTTTTTGGGCGATATTTCGATATTTCTTCATATGTATCGATATGCGTATCGTCCGCACATATATCTCGATATATCGATATTTCGTCCCAGCCCTATTATGTACCCTTGAGACAGTGCTGATGTAGGAGGTAGGAAAACTAATATGGCGTATGCCTATTAGCGAGTTGTGTTCAGATTTAAGAAGCGGTGTTTAATTGTGTTTTCTAACATATGAATCTAATATGTTTTACACTAAATATAAGTTTCAAATACACTCCAAAGTGTTTTTAATATTGTGATAATAAATCAATGTATTTCCCATGCATTCTTTGTTTAAAAATTTCTTCATATCAAGCTCCGACATTAAAAATAAGCAGCACTTCGTGTCTCACACAATTTTCCATTTGGATCTAATACTAAAGTACTTGATGAAAATCAATGTCAGGAAGTTTTATTAATGAGAAATTTAAGAGCACAGGATAACCACTCCTTTAGCCATGAAATAAACGTGTGAGTATTTTTTGTGATGCGTATCATAAACTTTAAAAATATAGATTCATGAAAAGTAACCAGCGTGGCACTGCTCTTTTTCCTAAGTCTCTTCGATTGCCAGCATCAAGTGAGTAAGCCACTAATGGTGCTATAAGAGAAAACACAAATCCAAATCCTAAACGAACGGTGGCCAAACGAGTCTATCCATTTTTCTGTTCTAGTTCTGCAGAATTTATGGCATTGGAAGACGTGTCTGAAACTTAATTGCTTTCCAGCTATAACATCAATACAAAAATGTTCTTGTTCACAGAAATTATCAGGCAAAGTAAAATATAATCCAATATCTGTCTTAGTAACGACTTGGTGCTCAGCGATGATACTGTCCCGGAAGCAGCGTGTATATTGCATTTGTCATGGTGACAACAATAAACACACACCCATCCAGGGCTGACCAGGTTACAGGATCTGTAGTATTCCTGTTTCTGAAGATGGCAGGACACATTTGTTGTACAAGACTTCAATATGGAAAGCCTCTCTGATACATCTGAAAAACAGATAGTACTTTTCGCAAAAAGGAAGAAAGAAGCATGATCTACTGAAAAAGATTTTGTTACTGGGAACATACCAAGCCCTTCACCTGAAATAAATAAAACAAGAAACCAAGGGGCTTTAATGGTCATCTAACTTATGAAGCTCAGTTATATATTAGCTTACTTGAAAATCAGACGTAAACGGTATAAAGTAGCATTTTTCAAATAAACTACAAAAAAAAATCTTACAGGTATGTTGAGATCAAAACAAAATGGTTAATACGAGGATTTATATACGTACAAACTGTGAGAGGCCTTCTAAGGAAATCAAACCAAAATTTGAAAGAATTCTATTGAAGAAGTTCTACAGAAATCAAACCAAAAAACAAAATTTGGAGAATTTTAACTCAAAGTGTTCTGGGAGTTCTACTGAAATCAAACACGATAATTAGAGGCGTTCTCCTGAAATAAAATTAACACTGTAGGAGATATTCTTCTAGAATCAAATAAATACTGTAAGATGTTTATATACTAGAATCAAATAAAAATTAAATGAAGAGTTCAATTGAAATCATATCAAAACTGTAGGAGGAACTCTTCTATTATCATATGATTCATATCAAAACTGTAGGGGGAACTCTTTTATTATCATATCAAAACTGTAGGAGGAACTCTTCTATTATCATATCAAAACTGTAGGGGGAACTCTTCTATTATCATATCAAAACTGTAGGGGGAACTCTTCTATTATCATATCAAAACTGTAGGAGGAACTCTTCTATTATCATATCAAAACTGTAGGGGGGGACTCTTTTTATTATCATATCAAAACTGTAAGAGGAATTCTACTAAAATCATATCAAAACTGTAGGGGGAAATATACTAGAATCAAATCAAAACTGAAGGAGGGTTCAACGGAAACCAAATCAAATCTGTAGCATGCAGACGTTCTATTAAAATCACATCAAAACTGTAGGAGGGGTTCTACTAGAATCAAATCAAAACTGTGGGAGAAGTTCAACTGAAATCTTATAAAAATTGTGGAAGAAGTTTTCTTGATGCCATATTGTAGGAAGATCTAGTATTTTTATATAAGAATTGAAGAAATTGTTTTAAGTCTGTGACTTACTTGTTTTATTTTGCCTGAAAATGACTTACTTGGTTGATTTTACCTGAATATGACGTTATTGTTTGGTTTACCTGAGTACGACGTAATTGTTTGACAGGTGTCCATTCCTCTACCACAGCTTTGGACATTATAGTCATCTATACAGTGTATGTTAGTCTTTTCGTTGGTACATTGGTAGCAGTCTAACGACTCGCTTTCACCTATATTTTAAGAGAAAAGAATCAAATTTATATAAATATGATTTCATTTTCTTCTTCTTCTTTTTTTTTTTATTAAATATTGCACTTGATATGGTCGAAGAAATTAAAACGCTTTAATTTAAAGTCACTGTAT